GAGAGACCAATTGGCACAGCTTGAACGTGCACACAAGCGCCGCGACATGTTCGTCACGGAGTCGCTGCATCTAGCGATCTAGGCTTTTGTTAGGTAGCGTGATATTTGGTTGTTCATTTCTAAAGTCGTTGTTCATGTCTTGATGCCAAGGGCACACTTCTTACTATTTCTGAATTGTATACATGTACTCAAGAGGCGTCGTGAACATCCTGGTCGCGACTAGCAATTCCAGCAGGATGAAGAGGCAAGTGCACTATCACTCGAAGACACTGATGCATCGACGCAGTCCTACTTGTCTTCTGCTATCGATCTGAAGCTTCCTTCAGATGGAAATGCTGCTGATCTTGCGTTGAATGTACAGCGGTATCTCTCTCGCATTGTGGAAGAGCTGTATCCGATCCATGATCCTAACACTGCACCAGATGCTGGAGCAAGCACCTACGCACCCAACACGACTGTCAGCTTTCGAAAAACCGATGAAGCAGTCACCGCAACTCAGTTCATGCCTGAGAGAGGACTACAAAGTCTTAAACGGCGACTGGGGTGATTCGAATCTACGCGTTTGCAACAACTAGAGAGACTTGAGATGCAGGAGATAAACGATAGTAGTCAGAAACGAATACCGCAATTAACGAAGACGGTGGCGTTCATACCAGCTAGTGCGTCTGGCAAGCCACGGGTCATTCTAACGGGTGCCGTATCTTTTCGAACGCCATCTGCAGCGACACCACGAACTCCACGATCAGGTGAAAATATCGGACTACAGCGAGGTCAGGTTCTCTTTTAGGTTTTGTCGACACGCTGACGATGAGTGATTGCTTCATCTACACCAAGACGGCGCTGCCTCTACCAGCAACATCGCATTTAAACGAAGGGGGGGGGGCAGTTGCATCATCAATACCAGTCGAGTGATGACAGAGTTTGAGAACAATTCAGGATGACATGTCGAGTTTGCTTTCAGTGCAACATCAGGGGTCTGCAAATGGTAATGAGAGGGCAAAATCATTGATCTGCATTATACACCAACAGAAAGTGTGAGGGAGAGGCATCATCGACGATCACCAACAGACAAGCATTTTATTATCGGTAGGTCTATATTATTATTAAACGCTGTTGCCAATGAATAGGAGACACTAAAAACAAGAAAAAGGGGACTTGTACTTCAAGTGAAATGCGCAAAGTTTTACGTACCCCTGGCAACAATCCGCCGTGAGTTTATCACAAGGATATTAAGATGCTGCACTGACAAAAGCGCTTGATGTGCAGCCGTCGAGGGAAAGCGTGGAGGGTCTCAGACAGACCCGGCGATCACTGACACCGCAATTTTCACGTAAGTCCCTGGGAGCCCTTTCACTCAAATTAAGATTTGCTTCAGGAAATACCTATAACCCCAGCATTAGACCGTACTTTCGCCCCGTGGCCTCCATTGCCGCGGCGATAGCATACCAGTCACCGCGTTCTTTCTCACCCGCCTAAGGAGTTCTCACTCCAGCACAGACACGATTTCTTCAAGAAGGGCACAAGCGAGCAAGACTCAAGCGTCAAGCGTCATGAGCACCCCGGACACTGTCGGCACAATCAACCACTGCCACACGCCGTTTAACAACTCAGTCTTACTTGCG